CTGCGTGGGGAAGAGGGCAGCGTAGGCAGTGGGTTGCTCAAAGTGCCCCACCTTTCAAAAGTCTACCTTTTGGACTTGCCCAACCGGTGAGAGCTCCCCTACCTGTTAGGAGAACCTTCAGGATGCCAAATGTGCCACGGGATGGTTGGCACACCTACGACGTCCGTCGTCAGCAGCCCATCGCAGTTGACGCGATGACAAGGACGCAGTATCGAAGGTACCTCCGCAAGAATGCTCAAGGAAGGAGGATTGCAAACTTGCAAGAAAATGTGAACGTAGACAACTCTGCCACGGGTCTGAGAGTGACTGTGGCCGGTGCTGGAAAAGTTGTCGAGGACAACCTGGACGGGAATGATCAAGGAGTCCCGGGAGAGGCTGAGTACGATGCTGAGTTGGATGACTCCCTCATCGAAGAGGAGATGCTGGAATTGGAGGAGCCGAAGTCGAAATTCGATCGGAAAAACAAGGATGACGATGATGACAACCAAGGTGCACCCATGACGATCCAGTTTGGAAGTCTACCACCGGTGGTGGTGAACAAATACATCTTGCCTTTGATTTTCCACATTGATTTGGAAAATCAGGGAGAGGATGGCGAGGTCGTGATGGAGGTTGAGGAGTTGGACGAGGCTGCTCAAGAGGTCAACGTTGCTGAGCTGGTGAGTGGTTTTGCTCAACTGACTCTAGAGGAGGAGAATGAGGAACCAGCGGCGGCAGAGCTGGTTGGTGAATCTGCGGATCTGCCAATCGAGGCTGAGCCGTGGAGTGCAATGATGGCTCGCACGAATGGTCGAATTGACTTGGCAGTGGAGTCGTCCAAGCAAAACAAGAGTTCGCAGCGAATCCTGAAAGAGCTGTACGAAGCAGGCCACAAAGCTGTTGGGCTACTGGGCGAAGATGAGGGAAGATATCCTTTTTACGTGTTATACCAAGGCCCGAAAGAGTCAACAAGTGTGCTGGTGGAGAACATCACATGGGAATCAGACTTCGACAAGCTGGAGAAATCGATTCAGGCTGCAGAGGTGAAAGGGAAAGCCGTGGACGAAGGAGCCATGAGTGAAGAATTGAACAGGGTCGTTGTTTTCAACGAGCTCGAGCCGAAGATGATGCGTCATTTGAGGCCTCTCTACATCAAAGCCACACTTGACGACGTACCAATGTCGAGAGTCTTAGTTGACAATGGCGCCGCAGTAAATGTGGTGCCAACAAGGATGCTGAAGAAGTTGGGCAAGAGCACTAATTACTTGATCCCAACGGAAGTGTTTGTGACAAGTTTCAATGGCGGGTCCACCTCTGCCAGGGGAATCCTCCCAGTCGTCGTGGGAGTTGGATCACAAAAGCGAATGAGTGCTTTCTTCGTGGTGGATGGAATGATAACCTACAACGCACTACTTGGCCGGGATTGGATCCACGTCAACAAGTGCTTCCTCCATCGTTGCATCAGTGTTTGATGCTCTGGAATGAAGACGGTATCGTTGAGGTGGTACAGGCTGACACAAAGCCGTTTGCCGTTGGTGCCAACGTGGCTGAAGCTTATCTGTACCATGGAGATTTTGGACCACTTGAAATCAGGAGTGGGGATGGAGGAACGTCCAACGTCATAGTTTAAAGCGCGAGAGTGTTGAGTAAGGCTTGCTTGAACCACTTGTCTGAAATTGTGAGACCATCAATGCGTACGTTAGGTGGTCCATCAAAATCAGAGTAAGCCACCTCAAGAGAGGGTGGAGAAGGCCGAAATCACGGCCTTGATAGAGGGGTTGCCGATCAACGGCGAGGATGCGAGTAACAAGTTGGGAGAGGAAGCAGCGGTGCTGTCTGCGACATTGTGGAAGAAATCAACTTTGGCGGGAAGGATGATCCACATTCAACATTCATATTGCCAGCTTGCATGACTCTGACAGGTACGAGTTAACTCTGATTCTGAATGGCTTCAAAGATTGTTTTACGTGTGAATGTTAGGAAATATAACATGGATATGTTGCAATCATGTTGTATAGCCAGTTTATCGCTTTTTATTTTAGATTCATGCATGACTGAGCTACGTAGATGCCATCGGCATTGCATTAACCTAGTCAAGGCTGTTGGTGTATGGTTGTTTTGGCTAAATGGTTTGTTTTCTTTAAGCCAGAGTTGTTAAATATGGTCTGTCGATTACTGTGTTGTCGAGATAGTCACAATATCGACCAAGATTAAACATGGCTTTACTTTTAATTTTCTTTGATAATGGTTGATTAGGAAATAATGACCAAACATGGCTATTTTTGCCTAAGCCACGTAGCAGTGGTGCCGCTTTATTTTTCTTTTCATATCAACAACATTGTTGGGGGGCACGGTGTTGCGGAAGCAAAATGATTATTATGTTATACCATCCAAAAAAAAAAAAAAGAGCGGGCAAAACAGCGCTAATGAGGAATTGAAAAAGAAGAAGAAAAAAAGGATTGTTTGGATGATGAACAGTGCTGCTGGAGGTCCTAAGCGTGGCCGCAATGGTATAAAATATAATAAAATAAAAGGTCTCTCAGCGCTGCGGCCAAGCAATGTCGCGGCTGTTGTTGGAGTCTAACAGCTCTGTCGACAAAAGGAGTAGTGTGCGGCCAAGCAGCTCTAATATATAAAAAAAAACAATAAAAAAAACATGTGTGGCCGAGGCGGCTATGCAGGCCTGCTAAAGAGGAAAAATAGGCCAAAAGATTTCCGCCAATTTTTGGTGGATTGGTTGTTTAAATTAAAATTATTTTAGGTGTTGTGGATTTTGTCAACAATTTGGTTCATAATTCTTATAAACCAAATTGTGGGGGGCATTTGTTGACACCTAAAATTAATTTGGCCCGAATTAAATGCCGTATTAATTAGTCTCAGCATTTAATTCGATACCGCGGGTAAAAAAACGGTGTCGTTTGGAGTCGAGCGGCACCGCGGAGAGTTAAAACGGTACCGCAAGGAGGCTCAGCGGTACCGCGATACTAGAAACGGCACCGTTTACCGGGAAACAAGATGTGGGCCGCGCGTTTGGTATCGGTGTTGGAAAATGAGTTTTATTATTATTATTATTATTATTATTATTCCTTGTGGGAAGGGGAGAAGCGGTACCGCATAGAGACAAGCGGCACCGCGGAGAGTTAAAACGGTACCGCAAGGAGGCTCAGCGGAACCGCGGCACTGGAAACGACACCGTTTACCGGGAGGCAAGATGTGGGCCGCGCGTTTGGTATTGGTGTTGAAAAAGGAGTTTTGATTATTATTATTATAATTAATTAATATTTTTATTCCTTGTTGGAAGGGGAAAATCGGTACCGCATGGAGATAAGCGGTATCGCGGAGAGTTAAAACGGTACCGCGAATTTAAAAACGATGCCGCGAGAGCCTGGTAAGCGGTACCGATTAATTAAAAATCATATCGGGTAAGTAACCAAAATTCACCCAGCCCAATGCGAGCGCCGACTGGCGGCGGCTCCATGGATTAATATTTTTTGGCTATATCAGCGGTGTCTTTTAATTCAAAACGGTACCGCGAGTAAGCCCAACGGTACCGCGAATTAGCAAACGACAGTGTTTAGAATAACAAACAATGTCGCGAAAGGAAGCAAACGGAGTCGTGGCGCTAATGATGTCGTTGGCCATGGCTAGGGATGGCCGGATTAATTAATTAATTAATATTTTAATGGAAATCTATCCAGGCTGCAGAAGCGAAAGGGAAAGCTGTGGACGAAGGAGCCATGGGTGAAGAATTGAACAGGGTCGTTGTTTTCAATGAGCCCGAGCCGAAGATGATGCGTCATTTGAGGCCTCTCTACATCAAAGCCACACTTGACGACGTACCAATGTCGAGAGTCTTAGTTGACAATGGCGCCGCAGTAAATGTGATGCCAACAAGGATGCTGAAGAAGTCAAAGAACTGATAATCCGAGTAAGGCTTGCTTGAACCACGCGAAGTGAAAGTTTGACAGCGTGTCAACAATGATGGCCGGTTTAATTAATTAATATTTTAAGGATCAGTTAAGACGGTTTCGCTTTAGCCGAAAACGACATCGTGGGAGATGTCGACACCGTCGCAGTACTGAAACGATGTTGTTTAATTAAAAATAGTGTCGCAGTGCAGCAATGGTGGATTTCGGCTCAGTGTCATTTTGGACCAAGTTGCCACGTGCTCAAGCGGGTTCGCACTCGTGGGAGTTACGCACAAGGAGGAAGTTACCTGCACGGTTGACAAGAGTGAAGACGTGGGAGACAAAGGCGCGAAGGCAGTTACTACGACGAGGAGAAGCGCGAAGTATAAAGATTGGGAAGAGAGAGAAGTTTGAGACGGCAAAATCAAATCACAACTGCACCATTGCAGAATTATCTTTTTTCTCTCTAGTTTCGTAGAACCGCTCTGTCAAAGAACTCCTTTGCAGAGTCGTAGGTCGTAGCTTGTAGTCGTAGTCGCGGAGCTCTCCAGAGGAACCTCCATAGGAGTAGAGGTAACGTAACTTAGAACACTCTTGGTTTGGTTTCTCGTTTCTCGTTGAACACCCTCGTTCGAACGTAGTTTGGAGAGGTGGTGAACCGAGTAACGGTTGTTTGATTAGAGGTCAAAGGTGCATCGATCAAATCAACGACGCCGATACCGGCGGCGGCTATTTGACGATCGTTTTTGATTTCTGCTTTAATCGATCAAATCAACGGCGCCGACATTCGGCGGCGGATATTTGACGGTTGTGATTGACGTGTGTTTTGTGTTTTTCTTGAAAACCGTGCACAGTTAACACACGAGTTTCGCCAACGAAACAGAAATCCAATAGAATCATATGCGCACGGTTAACTCAAAAGCAACTGAGTATCGGACAAATGAAAAGAGTAATGCATATATACAATAGTAGAAACGAACATACAATCCAAGAAACTCAAATAACAATCAGAATATAGAAACAAACAATGAGCCCTCTAGAGACAAGCAATCCCAAGGCATAACAACATATCGTCAAACTCGTAAAGACAAAGATATCCACCAACTTCACTGATCAGTTTCCAGGGCCCGACGGGGTAAGGCCAGGGATGGAAGGAATGGTTGGAAACCCGCTTGGCAGTGGCGGCAGAGAAACCTTTGGCATGGAAGGAATTGTGGGCATGGTCGGAATCGCGCTGGGGAGTGGTGGCAATCCTCCCACGGTTGGCAGAGATGGGACGGTGGGAATGGCGCCGGCGGCGCTGGGGAGTGGTGGCAGGGTTGGTTGCGGCAGAGTAGATGGGATGGTGGGCATCGGAGGCAGTGCTGTGGGTTTCGGCAGTTGGAGGAGCTGTCGAGCCGCCATTCCATTTTCCATGTTACTGCAGAATGTGACGACAAGGAGGAGAGCAACGACGAAGAACTTGGACGAAGAAGCCATGTCTTAATTTAACTAACTTGTCGGAAGAGAGATTTGGGAGGGTTCTTTTGTTTGGGATCAGTTGGTTCAAGTGATGGATGAAAAGGGTAACAGAGGTGGAGGGTTAATATATAGGCAGTGAAACTATGAGTATGGTCCAGAAAAAGTTGGCTCGTGTGTGATTACTGATTAGTAGTTCACCTCCTTACCCATAAAACTGGTACAGCAGTTGGTTAAGAAAAAAGGCCAGTACATGTCCAAGTTTCGGTAATCTAATTAGTTTGCCGCCTCATTAGTCATACCCATAACAAGTCTTAATCTAAGTTTGCACCGATATGTGGAACATGCATCTCAGGCTCTTAACTTAGGTTACCTAATCTTTCTCTAGGTCTGCCGCTAAACGCAGACTTTCCAACTCCAGGTTGAGATAGGTGTTTCACCGTTAGGCTCCCATCAAAACATACATGATGACAAATCAATAAAAGCTCAATATGATTCTAATCTACATTCATGATAGTTAGTGGTGTAGACAGTAATTTGATAAGGTAGGTCCAACGTAAAAGAAAAAACATAATATAACTCATATTAAAGATTTAACATAATTTCACGAGTGCGGATCATGTGACTAAAGGAGTGCTTAGTCACTTGATTAAGTCCCTTCCAGTTCTTAAATCTGGACACAACAATCTGACGGTTAAAAAGTGGGAATAACTTTTTTTAATTAATGATAAGGATAGTTTGGGTATTATAAAAAATTACGAAGTATACAAACCGGACTTACAAACATACAACTTTACAAACTATTACAACAAAACATACAAACTGATTTACAAACAATACAAAGCGTACAAACTATACAAACAATACAAAGTAGCCCGACAAATTAACAATACAAACCATAAAATAATGGAAAAACAACCGAGTTGACTTTGGAGACATCACCTCTATATAGAGGAATTCCATACAAAAGTCAACCAGGTTATTTTTTAGACATAAAAATCATAACAAACATGATTGACAAAAATGACAAACATGGTCTAAAAAATAACAAAGCTTATAAATATTACAAAAGAAACAAACAAACATTACAAAAGAAACCGACAAATATTACAAAGCATACTAACCATACATAATACTAGTACTTACAATACAAATATGTAAACTTCTCAACGGCAATCAAAAGACAACAAGGTTACTGATAAGGGTAAGGCGATAGTGCTTTATGATGACGATCCCCAATTGACTCCTATGGTGGGTGAACCAATGGAGAGGAACATAATCCCAGCCAAGCCTCAAAACCTAGAGAATTCTTTTCATGAAGTGGCAGGTTCGGCCTCACCAAAGGTGCCTTCTGATGGTGAGTTTCAAAGGGTGGTTCATGGAGCTAAACCTCGCATCTGGTCACCACAATCCAGTCCGAAGGAAACTTTTCAAGTTTCTGCTTCTAATTTTAGTGTTCTAAGTAAACTGGAGGAAAGAGAGCCAGTTAAGTTGCAGGCAGCACCTAAGAAGAAAGATGGTAAGAAGGACGATAAGAAGGGAGGGGTCAAACCATTGTCTTCTCGATGATTGTTCTTTTTTGGAATGTGAGGGGGTTCAATAAACCCTCTAAACAACGGCACTTGTTAAGAGTTCTGCATTGTAATAAAGTAGATATTGTAGTAGTGTTAGAAACTAGAGTTCGGGCAAATAAGGCGGAGGAGATAGTAGAGGAGGTGTTTGCGGGGTGGGAGAAATGCTTGAATTGTGTCGACTGGAAATTAGGAAGAGTTTGGTTGTTTTGGGATCCGGTTATTAAGCTAAAGGTGTTGAAGCCGGGGAAGAACTTTATTCATGCAGTAGTTGAAGGGCTTGACAAGGAACGCTTCTTTTTAACTGTTGTATATGCAGCCAATGATGAGACAGAGAGGCGGTGCACATATGGGGAGATAGGTAAACTGCAGGTTGCTGATCACCCCTGGATTGTTGGGGGGGGGGATTTCAACACGGTTAGAGCACCAAGTGAAACGAGTAATCAAAGATCAGTCACTAGCAGCATGACAGATTTAAATGATTGGAATTGGAGTATAGAGTTATTGGATTACAGAACCACAGGGCCTCAGTTCACATGGACAAATAGATAGCAAAATAACCCCATTGCACGACGGTTGGATAGAACCTTGGTTAATTTGAAGTGGATTGAGTAGTTTCCTGATTGTGCTATGGAGGCTTACCCAACAGCCTTCATGGACCACTGTGGCATCCAAGTTTGTACAGTCACACAAATAAAATCACTACCGAAACCTTTACAATATTTAGAATTTTGGGCAGAGCATCTTCTTTTCCTGGAAACAGTGGAGAATGCTTGGAAGAAGGACATTAAGGGGTCTCCTTTGCAGATAGTTCAGGGTAAGCTTAAGGAAATCAAGAAGGCCTTGAAGCAATTCAATAAGGATATCTATGGGGATCTTCAAGGTTAGGTCAAAGCTGCTGAAACAAATATATTGCAGGCCCAGTTGCTGGCTTTATCAGACCCTACTTCAAATCACTTTGCTGAAGTTAAGAAAATGCAAGCTGTGTGTGTTCAACTGCAGGCTGCCTAGCTATGAAAGTTTCTGTTGGCAGAAGTCAAGGGTATATTGGCTGACGCTGGGAGAAAAAAGCTCAGGTTTCTTTCACCAAGCTATCAAAATAAGATCTTCTAAAAGGGCACTTCGGAAGTTAGTTACTACAACAGGGGAAGAGCTTGTTCAGTTTAATCAGATAATTGAGGAAGTGATTGGCTATTATAAAAGGTTATTGGGAGAGACATATACTGAGATTCACTCGAGCAGTGATGAAGTAGCAGCTTTAGTCAGGAACACAATACCTGATGAGGGGCGATAATTTCTTGTGCAACCTGTTAGTGCCGAGGAAATCAGGAAGATAGTCTTTGGGATGAATCCTCAAAAGGCTCCAGGCCAAGATGGCTTCTCAGCTGGTTTCTATAAACAAACGTGGCACATAATTGGAGCTGATATCATCAGTGGTGTGAACTATACAAGAGTTTCTTTAATTCCTAAGACACCTAATGCAGATACCCTTAAGAACTGTAGGCCTATATCTTGTGTGAACTTATTAGATAAGATAGTGGCTAAAATTCTTTCAAACCGGAATAAGGAAGTATTGCTTACAATTATCAATCTTCACGGTCAGCCTTCATTAAGGGAAGGAGCATCATGGATAACATTCTGCTAGCTCAAGAACTAGTTAGTGGATATCATAGACAGGGGCTTTCATCTAGATATGCTATCAGAATTGACACAATGAAAGCTTTTCATTCTATAAACTAGAATTATCTCTTTCTTATGATGAATGCTACAAGGTTCCTTGAGAAATTCTTAAAATGGATCAAATGTTGCATTCAACTACACAATATAGTATAAATGTCAATGGTAGTCTCTGTGGTTACTTTAGAGCTAGAAAGGGGGTCAGGCAGGGTGATCCCCTCTCACCCTAATTGTTTACCATTGCCATGGAAGGGCTCTTTACTATGTTTATGCAGGCTGGTCAGTCAGGGAATATCCCCTTCATTCCACATTACAAAAGGGTTGCGTTAAATCACATGTGTTTTGCTGATGTCATCCTTGTATTTATTGAGGGGTCTATTCGAGGCATTCTTCAAGTTAAACATGTTCTACAACAGTTTTATTGTGTTTCTGGGCTCCAATGTAATCCATCAAAGTGTGAAGTATACTTTGGAAGAGAATCTATAAAATACAAGTCAAACGCTTTGCTTCTTTCGGGGTTCCAGGAGGGTAGACTGTCGGTTCGCTACTTGGGATTACCATAGATCACAGGGAAGTTATCATCAACAGAGGTGGACATACTGGTGGATAAGATCACCAAAAGGATCAAGTCATGGCGAGCTAAAAAGCTTTCTTGTGCATGCTGTTTGCAGTTATTAAACTCAGTCTTGATGGGGATCATACGGTTCTGGATTCAATTATTTGTTCTTCCAAAACAAGTGCTGAAAAAGCTACAGAAGGCCTGCTCCCAGTTTCTTTGGCATGGTACTGATGAAGGGAAGGCAAAAATTGTTTGCGAAAAGCTTGCGTTTCCAAAGAAAGAGGGAGGACAGGGAGTTAAAGAATTTCATGCTTGGAATCTTGGTTGCACTGCTAGAATGTTATGGCTTTTTTCTGTTAAATTTTGGAACTCTCTGAGTGGCATGGACACGAATATAAATGTAAAGAGGGTGATTTGTGGTCGATGAAACCCCAGTACAGCAACTCCTATACTTGGAGGAGACTAATCAAGACAAGAGATAAGCTGTGGCCATGGCTACAACAAAGGAATGGTGAGATCTATTGGTGAGAAAAGCTTATGGATGTTTACTCTGTTCGACAGGTTTGGGAATCTCTGCGCATAAAACAGCTTGAGGTTCAATGGTTCAAGCTCATATGGAGTAAGTTTTGTCCTCCTCGTTACAGTCTAATTGCATGGCTTATTATTAAAAATGCTATTGCAACAAAGGATAAACTGCTGAGCTGGAGGAAACTGACTGATGCGTCCTGGCCGCATATATGAGAAACAGATTCAATGAAAAAAAAATATGTGAACTTGTATACAAACCAATGAATACAAAGTATACAAATCATAAAATAAAAGTATACAAAATAGACAAACAAACATTACAAATTAAAATATATACAAAATAGTCATATAAACCTTACAATATAATAGACAAGAATAACAATCAAGACAAATTGATAAACATTACAAATCAGACTTAAAAATATTACAAAATAAAACGACAAACATCATAAAACTGATATTGTCGCTGAAAAATTCCCCGTCGTCGAAAAATCCTCCTCCGTCATCGTAGATTGCCGGAAAATCAGAACTCTCTCTATTCACCTGGGAAAATTCCCCTTAGGCCAAAACCCCTCTTTCTTTGCCGCAAAAGAAATTGGGGCAGTATTTTTGTCTCTGGCCGGCGGGAATGGAACACCGGCGAATTTCTGGCCGGCGGTAAGATGAAAATTCAGCCAACCAAATATATTTATATTTTTTAATTTTAATTATTAAATCAATAAATTATGTAATTACTTTATTGCCATTCATTAATTTGAATTAATTGGAGCTATTGAATTTGAGTGAGATGCAAGGGCTGAGATTCACTTACTCATGTGACTAATGATCCCCTAGTCACCTGATCTTAGCCCATGATATCATGATGTGTTTTCATATTTTGAAAAGTATTTAAAATGTATTCATATCCACACTATTTAAGATGTCACTCTCAACGAAAATAATTCAAAAATCATTCATGATTTCATCACTCATATAATTATGAAGCATGTTCTTCATACAATTCATTACATTGCGCTGTGTCAAGTGGATTAAAAAAAGACGATAATTGTGGAAGGAAGTCGAAAACACCGAAATACTCATCATACTCTTACACAATACTCTTTTGGGGGTCCAAGATCAGGTTAGTGACCCTTGGTTACTCATGGGTGAGTAACCAAATATGGATCTTTATTTTTAACTGGGCTCAGAAAATTCAGATTTAAAGATATGGATCTTTATTTTTAACGAGTTCGTTGTACTCTACAAAATGAGATCACTTTTCACTATTTTAGAGAAAAAATTTCCATACCTCTCGGCTCTCATTACCAACTCCATAGCATATGGTATCTCATTCGTTTTGAAGTCATTTTTGAAATCTTTTGCATAGAAGGAACGGGTTTATCATAATCTATTGGACTACAAATTTATGGGTGAAAAAATACAGGACCAAAAATACCACACAATACCTCAATATCCATGCACCGGCATGCGCTACTGCGGGTTGGGGCAGGTAATACACGCGTGTGTACAAAGCGGGGAAGGTTGACCCACTCTTACATGTTATATGAAAATATTCACGCAAAATTTTACTTTTTACGATAAAACAAAGGGAAAACACTTTATGAATGAAAATATTGATAATAGAACGGGTAATTAAGTCTAATTAGTTGAAAGGTAGTTTAACTAGTTGAAGATATGTGAATAGATTTTTTAAGTATTTGAGGTAAAATGTCTATGAACGGGGGCGGAGCAGAGCATGGCGGGAGGGAAGTAGATACCCATGTCTGCCCCACGCTACTGTGGGTCGGGTAATACCCGCCTTCTTGTGGGTCAAATCGGGTAATAGCCCAGGGGCGGGTTCAAATTGCCATCACTACACCCTGGTATAGGGGTCGTATCTTGTGGTACACAATGTTGAAAGTCGTAAATGACAGTTAGTATACTTCTACTATATGTATTCAACCATCCTACAGTCTTGGTATGTTCATACCACCATGGTAAGTTTTCATACCATATGGTATGCTTTTATTTTAATACCAATCAATACCACCCTGGCATAAACTGGTAAAAAATGCCCCAATTTTTTTGTTTAAAAAATATATTATTGTGGATAAAATTTTGAAGAGCAAAATTAATATGATTTAATATGGTAAAAAATTCCAAATTAAAACGAGATTGAAATCGTCTGTTAAAAATTAAAAGTTTTCCATTAAAAAGAGAGGGGTGTTGATGTATCGGATTCTGATTATGTTACTCATTATTACTCACCAGTCAGTCACCACAAGATTACTAATGGGGTAAATTGCAAGCTTGGTCACTGAAATTACAAAAAAAAGTTCATGTTTGGTCACTAAAAATATTTAATTCCATTCGTAGTCACTAAAATTAGTTAGATATGTCAAGTTTGGTCACTCTCCGTACAACTCCATTAACTTTTGCTTATGTGGCAGTCAACTTTTACAGTTGACCGTTAAATGTATGACATGACAATTAAAAAATAATAAAATAAATAAATTTTAATTTTTATATTTTTTACCTCATTTCGATTTTGGGTCCATTTCGATTTTTCACTTCTTCGTCCCTGGGGAACTGTTCCGACCCGGAATCCACCCGACTGTCCGCCGCTTCTTTCTCTACCAGAAACGTTAAGGCGATCTTCTTCGGCGACGGCCTCGCCTTCGTCCTGTCCCGCGCCGACGGAAAGGAGGGTGGTTCTGCCAAACATACTAACTACTAGCTCAACCGTAGCCAAAGCTATAATTATAGACCCAGAATTAGGCTTTTGATGATGTCCCAGTGTAGAATTCCGGTTGTCTTTTTCATGCAGAGCTAACAGAACCTCAACCATTGCTTTCGTCCCTCCCGACATCCCTTCTTTCGTCCCTCCCGACATCCCTGAACTCCCACCACCATCAAGATCTTCATTCCTTCAATTCTCAATCAACATCTAAATAAACCCATCTCTTGTCCCTTGAAACTCCACTAGCTTCTCCTCTTTCTTCCCAATTTCATCGACCCATCTCAGACCCAGCACGAAATAAGCTAGAAACTGAAAACTTCCTTAGGAAGGTTTGTAAGAAAAAGTAAAGGAGGAAGAAGAAATGGGGAATCCTCAGCTGTTCTCATCGCTGGGTTTCTGTATTTAAAGGAGTTCAGGATTTACTGTTTACACAACGGTAAAGCTGACGTGGCGAACCGCCATTTGTCTAACATAAAACTACCTCCACTACATTAAAAGACAGCGTACTAAAAATGAAAGACATAAACATAAATGAAACGTTTTTCCTTCTTCTTCTTCGAAACTTCCTCAGCTCCAGAGTTCTTCAAGTTCATCGAGCTTCTCCTTTCCTTTAGTGTTCTGGGCAGCTTGTTCCTGAGCATTCAGATCAAGCAATCCCTTGCATCTTGTCACGCCCCCACAAGTTGGCGCGTATACATTTAATACGTCCAACTTGTCAAGCAAATAACTCAACCTATACCTGCTTAATCCCTTAGTAAAGAGATCAGCAAGTTGTTCTTCACTTCTCACAAACTTCAACTTGATAAGACCAGACTTCACTATTTCCCTGGTAAAATGAACATCAATTTCGATGTGTTTGGTTCTTTCATGATAAACCGGGTTCTCTGCAATCTGAATTGCAGACATATTGTCGCAATAAACAAACACTGGAGTTTGTATCTTGACATCCAACCAGGTGAGCTAGTGCCCTGTATTCAGCTTCAGAAGAAGACCTGGACACAGTTGTCTGCTTCTTTGCTTTCCAAGAAACTAAGGAATCTCCTAGAAAGGTACAATAACCTGAAATTGACCTTCTAGTATCAGGGCATGCTGCCCAATCAGCATCACTGTATGCTTTTAAAACCAATTATGTATTTGCTTTAAAATGTAACCCTTGACCTGGTGCTCCCTTCAGGTACCTGATTACTCTATATGCTGCTTGTAGATGAGTGTCCCTTGGTTCCCTTTGATATTGACACAATTGTTGAACTGGAAAGGCAATATCAGGTCTGGTCACTGTCAAGTAGTGCAGCCTGCCTACAAGCCTCTTGTAAATACCTGGATCTTCTAACAACTTTCCTTCTCCTGCACTTAGCTTTACCTTGCAATCAATTGGACTCTTACAACTTTTAGCATCTAAGAATCCTGTTTCAGCAAGCAAATCCATGCAGTACTTTCTTTGAGAAACAGATATCCCACTTCTGTTCCTAGTCACTTCCAGTCCTAGGAAGTACTTCAAACTTCCCAAATCCTTCAGTTTGAAATCTCTCTTCAGGAACCCTTTTACTGATTCCAAATCACCTAACCTAGGTCCTGCAAGGATTTTATCATCCACATATACCAAGACAATGACAATTCTTCCCTGTACCATCTTGACAAACATAGAATAGTCAGAGGAAGATTGTGAAAAACCATTCTTAAGCAATGATCCAGTTAACTTAGCAAACCACTGTCTGCTGGCCTGCTTCAGACCATAAAGAGACTTTTTCAACTTGCAACCATTCCCTGTGAATTGTTTCCTATAGGAAAGCCCTGTGGCAATTGCATATAAACATCTTCTTCTAAGTCCCCATGCAGAAATGCATTGGAGACATCTAGCTGGTGCAAGTGCCAGTCTTTTGCTGCTGCAACTGCCAACAGGGTTTTAACAGAATTGTTCTTGGCAACAGGAGAAAATGTGTCCAAGAAATCAATCCCATAGACTTGGGTAAAACCTTTTGCCACTAACCTGGCTTTAAACCTTTCAACACTACCATCTGGCTTCAGTTTAATCTTGTAAACCCACTTACATCCTATTGCCTTCTTCCCTGCTGGCAACTTCACAAGTTCCCATGTTTGATTTTCAATGAGTGCTGCAAGTTCTTCTTGCATAGCCTTCCTCCAACACTCTTCTTCATTAGCATCCTCAAAGGAAGTTGGTTCCACCATGGTTACCATATTGACTGCATAGTTCTTACTGTTCTCAGTAAGCAATTCATATCCAACCACATCTGTTATGGGAGACTTGGTTACTATTCCCAGATAACAGTCTTTCAACCTGGCAGGTAAGACAATGTTCCTTTGAGGTCTCCTTCTAACAGGTTCTGCTTCATCTTCTTCTGGTTGTTGAAGTTCAAACTCTTCCTCTTCCATACCTGCAGAATCATCAGTCTCATGCACATAGATATTATCATGAGATGCATCAGGTATATTGCTTTCAGGAAGGGAAAGCTCTTTGGAAGGACTACTGACATGACCCTGACCAGAAGGACTACTGACATGACCCTTACCAGGAGGACTACTGACATGAACCTGATTAGAAGGTAAGGTAATGGAAGGTGACTCATTAAAAGAAGGTGTTGGCAGTGAAGGTATAGAAGGAGATGGAAACAAGGGTGCAGAATCATCCTTCTCCTGCTGATTGTGATTTTCAACTTGTGTTTTGAAAGGGAAGAAGTCTTCATAAACTGTGACATCTCTAGATATCAAGAATTCATGTTTGTTCAGATCAAAGAGCTTAAAGCCCTTTATCCCAGCAGGAATGCCAAGGAAAATGCATTGTCTAGCTCTAGGATCAAGCTTAGTTCTTCCTGCAGTAATGCTGGCAGCATATGCCAAGCAACCAAAGACTCTCGAATGGCCTAAAAATGGAGGTCTTTGGTATAGAATTTCATATGGAGACTTATTATTTAGAACTGGAGTTGGAAGTCTGTTAATGATAAAGACAGCATGGAGAACACAATCACTCCAAAAAATTAAGAGGAACACCTGAATGAAATCTCAATGCGCGAGCAACATTTAAAATATGTTGATGCTTGCGCTCTACCCTCCCATTTTGTTCAGGTGTATAAGTACAGGACATCTGATGTTCAATGCCCTGACTTAGGTAGAATTCACACATGTAAAACTCTTTCCCTTGATCACTTCTTATGGTTTTAACAGGTTTTCCAAACTGTGTTTTAACCATGTTACAGAAGCCTATTAACAAATCTCTTGCTTCTGATTTCTGTTTCATCAAGTATACCCAAACTGCTCTAGAAAAATCATCCACGACAGTTAAGAAATAATAATAACCATCATGTGAATTGATTGCCAATGGTCCCCAAATATCAACATGGACAAGAACAAAAAGATATGATGCAACAGATTCACTCAAAGAAAAGGGTAATCTCTTCTGTCTTGACAAATGACAGTGTTCACAGTGTCTGACTTTCTCTATAAGAGGTGAAGGATTACATTTGTTTAAAAGGGTAGTACTACTATTACTAGGGTGGCTTAATCTCCAATGCCACAATTCAATCTTCTGAGGCTCGAAATTGTAAACAGATGCAACTTGAGATGTATTGAAAGAGGTGACTTGGGAAGGTGTGGTTGCATCTGGAATGAAATGATATAAGCCTCTACTTTCTTTGGCCAAACCAATCATCCTGCTGTTCACTAGGTCCTGGACATGACAGAGATTAGATTGAAAGATGAGTGAGATTGGTAGGTCGTGTGTAAGCTTACTGACAGAGACTAGATTGAAGGTGAAGCTAGGTACTAAGAGGACATTGTGGAGGAATAACTGTGATGACAGTCTAACTGAACCAACATGTGAGACTGGGACTTTTGCTTTGTTTGGAAGGTAGACAAATACATCAAAAACAGGTCTATATTTGTCAAACAGAGAAAGAGAACAAGCAATATGGTCTGATGCACCATGTATGTTGAAGAGTCCTATGATTCTGACAGGTTGAAAGAACATACATACCTCCATAATTAGGGAATTGCGGCAGATAGTTAGTCACTGAGTGTGACCTGAGGAGATGTTGGTGAGTTGGAAGTGGAGGATTGAAGCAACCCTCTCAGTCTGTGCATCTCTTCAGCAGTGAAACCACCAGCAGCAGGACCAGATTGACTCCCAACTTCAACTTGTAACTGCCTTTCCCCTTCTGAATCTGATTCATGACCAACTGCTCCAGAGAACCTGTTGTATTGTCCTCCTTCCTTGTTTTGATTCTTCCTTTTCAGCCTCCAACAATCCTTAATTACATGGTTTGTTTTCTTGCAGTAGTTGCAAAACAACTCCCCTGTCTCAGCTCCACTTCTGTCACTGCCAGCCCTTTCATTAAAATTCCTGTTCGACCCCTTAGAAAAGGTGCCTGCTGATGAGTTATTGGAAGAACCAGCTGCTAAAGCAACTGATTGTCCAGTCTTGCTTCCATTCCCGTTCCCATCAGCTTTGAGCTTCTGCTCATGCTGCAGCAAGTCATGAAATGCTTGAACCACTGTTGGTAATGGTTTCTGCATCAGCAGCTGTGATCTGATGTACTCATATTCTGGGTTCAGACCATGCAGGAACCTTATTAGATAATCAGTGTTTTGTTTCAGCTTAAAAGCTTGAACTGCAGCACAGGGTAATGAGTTTCCAGGCAAACATCCACAAGGCACAATAGGGTAAAACTGGCTATACTCTTCCCAAAGACCCTTCATGTGAGTATAGTACTGAGTAACGGTCTGGGTACCCTGTTTTGTGGCATGAATTTCATCTTCCAAGTTTGTGAGCTTTATGGCATCAACTTGACCATATCGCTCTTTAAGCTCATTCCATAGTGCTCTTGCATTATCATGACTCAGGACACTTCTAGCTATGTCCTTCTCGAGTGAATTAGTAATCCAACACAAGACAATAGTGTTGCAAGCATCCCAGTTCTGAAACATATCATCATCCCTATTCGGAGCAACAATCGACCCATCTATGAACCCTAATTTGTGTTTAGTCTTAAGAACAATGGTCACTGCCTTAGACCAAGTCTGATAGTTAGGGCCATCCAGAACAATGGGAACGATAGACTGAGCTAGATTCTCATTAGGGTTTATGTAGAAGGGGTTACCAAAGTTCAAATCAGCAGCTGCTCCTGCTCGATTGTTGTTGCTGTTGTTGCCACCTTGACCTTGGTTAGTACCAAAGCTGCCAAAGTTCATCGGAGGGGTATTCGGCGGTGTGTTGTTCATCGGACCAGTGCTAGACTGTGCTCCAGACATTGTTTATCAGATCCGCTCAGATCTGCTCTGATACCATGAAAACTTCCTTAGGAAGGTTTGTAAGAAAAAGTAAAGGAGGAAGAAGAAATGGGGAATCCTCAGCTGTTCTCATCGCTGGGTTTCTGTATTTAAAGGAGTTCAGGATTTACTGTTTACACAACGGTAAAGCTGACGTGGCGAACCGCCATTTGTCTAACATAAAACTACCTCCACTACATTAAACGACAGCGTACTAAAAATGAAAGACAGAAACATAAATGAAACGTTTTTCCTTCTTCTTCTTCGAAACTTCCTCAGCTCCAGAGTTCTTCAAGTTCATCGAGCTTCTCCTTTCCTTTAGTGTTCTGGGCAGCTTGTTCCTGAGCATTCAGATCAAGCAATCCCTTGCATCTTGTCAGAAACGTCCAACACATCACCCGCATAATCTCCGTCGTAAACTCCTAAAATCGCCGTCCTTCCTCAAGATCCGCCACGCTCTCGTCGCCGTAATATCGCTTGCCTACCATTGTATTCACTGGATCGTGATTGCTGCCCTTCTCCCCATTTAACGCTGCTAGCCGGCAGATCGTTGACTTGACCTCATTGTATCTGACACCGAAAAGGGCCTGGAGAGGAACTCGGTGGATGCCACTCGCAGGAGGTTCCGCTTGAGGTCGCCTTAAGGATCCCAGGCCGTGGAGCAACGAGAAATTGTGGTCGTCGGAGTACCGGGTGGCTCTGCCCGGCCGTTCATCCTTGAGCAGACTATCTCAATAATTCTTCTCCTGGGTTGAGGATGAGAAGGTGATTTGGTCAGGGGAGGAGTAGTGGTTGGCGAGGCAGTCTACTGTGGGAGGAAGTCTTACCGCCCCTATGTTTGCTCGGATTATCTGAGGTTTAGAGAGATTACGAGTGAGAGAGGGAGGTTTGATAAATTTGGATTCACTGTTAGAGATTCAAGTTGGAGACCACACTCCTCTCCGTCGGCGCGGGACAGGTAGAAGGCGATGCCATCACCGAAGGAGCTCGGCTTGAACTTTCTGATGCAGAAAGTGAATCTCGTGGAAAAAGAAGCGGCGGACGGTCGGCTGGATTCCGGGTCGGAACACTTCTCCAGGGACGAAGAAGTGAAAAATCGAAATGTACCCAAAATCGAAAATGAGGTGGAAAATATAAAAATTAAAATTTATTTATTTTATTATTTTTTAATTGCTATGTCATATATTTAACGGTCAACTATAAACGTTGACTGCAATATAGGCAAAAGTTAACGGAATTGGACGAAGAGTGATCAAACTTGACATATTTAACTAATTTTAGTGACTACGAATGAAATTAAATATTTTTAGTGAACAAACATAAACTTTTTTTATTAGTAACCAAGCTTGCAATTTACCCATGACTAATGTGATCTACTTTCTCTTTTAGGGAGGAAAAGGGGGAAAGGGAGATAAGTGGGGGAAAGTTTGGTTTTAAGGTACTTTCCCGGTTCCCGAAAATATGTACAGTAGCAGGGGAGGGAAAAGAACAGAAAATACTATAGTTGGGCCTTATTTCATTTTTTTTATTAATTCTCCATCATCTCTGTCCTCACTATCTTCTACGTTCCTTTTTCTCTAAAATCCAGGAACTGATCCATCGAATAATGAATTGAACAACAATAATGCTAGCAATTTTGATCAAGGTTTTTTTTTTCTTTTTTGAGAAACAATTTTGATCAAGCTTTGACCGTAGGGGAGAAATAAAATCCGGGATTCTTTTAAAATAAAATTCATTATCAATAAGTTATGAGATATATATTTCGTAAATATTAGCAATTTTGTTAATGTTGACGAAATATTAGCCAAATTTTTGAAATATAAAAGTCAAATCTTTTGGCATCATAAATTGTTACGTGGTATGTAAAAAGTGTACTACGATCCACGAAAGTGCGATTGTCCAACTAGGTACAATCAGTTTATATCATCATTTCCCAATTTTGTGTCCAGTATTCGTTGAATCCAGTTCTACCGCTCGGTATACCACATGGATGATGTAACTCCTAGATCCTTTTACCAAATCAAAATAACCGTGACTTCGGAGCCGACCGAAATAGTGTAAAAAAAATCTCAATCAAACAAATAAACCCAAGTATTTTCCACAAGAAATTCAAACGAAATGCCTTAAACAGTTGGGCCCCAATTCCATAGTAAACAAAACCATCCAAAACTCAAAACATCGAATCTACAGTTTATATACTCTTGACCATGAACGAAAATAATGAAATAACTATAGCACTAAGTCCTCGCTGAAAAATTGCACCCTCACGAAAAATCACTACGAAAAATCACAAAAAGAATCACGAGCATATACTACTACTCTGGCTGCGGTTGCTCCGGCGCCTCCTCTCACCTCGGATGACGTTCGTCCTCTCGTACAGGTGGCGTTGAAAGAGATCCTTCCCATGCGCTCACGTCTACCTTTGCTACGGGTATGACTACTTCTTCTACACCTTGGCATGTTGATTCTGCTGCCTATGATCACATGACTAGCTCCCGTGGGTCTTTTCGTACTCTTGATACCTCTGTTCCTTGCCTCGATTTACAAGCTGCGAATGGGTCACTTATGCCAGTTAAGGGTGTGGGTCATGTTGTTCGGCCCAATACTTCTCTTCGGGATACTCTCTATGTCCCTAAGCTCGTGCCGAATCTTGTTTCTGTGGGTCAACTAGCTGACGATGGTTGTTGGGTTATTTTTTATGCTACCGGGTGTGTTGTGCAGGACACGAGGATGAGGCAGGAGATAGGGAGAGGGAGTAAGAAGGGATGGACATTTCTATTGGATTCCTACTCTCGATCAGGGCAGGTGCATGAAGGATGGCAAGATCTTGGTGGAGGCTGGTCAGGGCTGTCTAGGAATAATATTTTGGTTAAGAAAATTTGTTTGGATTTCAAACGGATAATGTGGTTTCTTGTGTGAAATTGTCTTATTGGAATTTGTGGCATTTTTGGCTGGGTCATCCCAATTCTGGGAGACTTCGTACTATGTTTCAGAATAAATGGTTATCTGGTACTGTTTTAAGTGATCAAAGTCATGAATGTGTTCATTGTTTACACACTAATTTGATCTCGTGCACACCGATTTGTGGGGTCTATCACCGGTCCTGTCACGTTTGGGTTACAGATATTTCGCTCTTTTTGTGGATCACGCTACACGTTTTACATGGGTCTTCATTCTGCGACAGATTTCCGAACCATTTTCGATTGCCCAGGAATTTTTGGCCATGGTTAACACTCAATTTAATCGACAGTTAAGATACTTCATTCTGATCTTGGTGGGGAGTATACCACCAATCCGCTGCAGAACCTCTTACGTGAACGTGGTATCGTTTTTCAACATTCTTGTGCGGGTACATCGCAGCAGAAATGTTTGGTGGAGCGCAAAAATCGATATGTTTTGGAGTTTACTCGGGCTATCTTATTCCATTCACTGGTTCCTTCTAAGTTCTGGGTTGAAGCTGTCATACCACCGTCTACTTAATTAATCGTCAGATCACTCCCATTTTATAGCAGTGAAGTCCGTACCGGGTGTTGTATTTTCGTCTCCTGAACTATGGTTGGTTGCGTGTTTTTGGGTGTGTATGCTATGTTCTTCTTACTCAACGGGAGAGGAATAAAATTACTCCGAAGTCTATTAAATGTCTATTCCTGGGATATTTTGATACACAAAAAGGTTATGTGCATGTGTTATGATGTTCATTCACATCGAGTACGGGTGTCTTGCAATGTAGTGTTCATTGAACACATGTTGTACTTTGGTACTTCTGACTCGGCAGCCTCCACAAACCTAGATTTGGACTTCTTGCAGTTACCCAAACTGTCGCTGCCTCCTGCAGCTGATGGTCCATAGCCCACCATCTCGATCGCTTCTTCATCTTCGGTGGAGTCCTCCTCACCCAGCTCTTCCTCGCCGAACACCTCCTCATCGGGCAGCTCCTCATCATCCTTCCCTTCCTCTACTGGTCCAAGTTCAGGGACTTCATAATCTCGCAACAGTAGTTGTACGGACACGTATAAGTCGAGCGAGTCCTCCAACTCCACCTCATCGAGTGCTTCCCCTCCACCCATGGAGGAAGTGGTTCCTCAGCTGCGTCGATCTGACTGAGCCAATAAAGTTCAGTCCCCTCCTAGACACTCTGATTTTGTTACCTTCTCCATCCCCACTATCTTTGTTCCAACGACATATAAGCAAGCCAAGGGACATGCTGAATGAGATAGTGCCATTCAAGTTGAAACTAATGCTCTCGAGGTTGCTCACACGTGAGACTTAGTTCCTAGATCTCCTGATTATTCTGTTATTGGTTGTCAATGGGTGTTTACCATTAAGATGAATCCCGATGGTACGATAGAGCAATTCAAAACTCGGTTGGTAGCGTAGGGGTTTCGACAGGAGTATGGTATTGATTATGCTGAAACCTTTGCACCCGTTGCAAAGATGCAGACAGTTCGGAGTCTTTTGGCGGTTGCCGCCATGAAGAAATGGCCATTCGTCCAACTCAACGTGAAGAATGCATTTCTTCATGGTGATCTCAAGGAGGTTATCTACATGGAACTGCCACCTAGTTATACGAAAGGTGATAGTTTGATGGTGTGAAGACTTCATCGCTCGTTATATGGACTGAAACAAGCTCCGAGGGCATGGGGGGGGGGGGGGAATTCCATGACACAGTCATTCTGGCTGGTTTTGTGCAAAGTGATAGTGACCCATCCCTATTCTTACGTATTACGGCTTGTGGGATTACCATCCTTTTGGTCTATGTTGATGATATAGTGATTAGTGGAGATGACGCAGAAGGCATTAAGGAGGTAACTCAAACTATCTGCTCTGCGTTTAATTTAAAGGAACTCGGGGATCTTGCTTATTTCTTGGGTCTTGAAATTCATCGTTCCCCACCTGGAATTCATGTTGGCCAACGCAAGTATATCATTGATTTGCTTGAAGAGGCACAGATGGATGAGTTTCTTCCTTGTGCCACTCCTATGGAGCAGAATTTGAAGCTTTGACTGGGCGATGGTGAGTTATTACCTAATGGCTCTCTATATCGTAGTATAGTGGGCAGCTTTATCTAGTTAACACATACACGTCCGGATATTTCCTATGATGTTCAAGTAGTAAGTCAGTTCATGTCGGCCCCACGTACTACTCACTGGACTGCAGTCCAACGTATCCTGCGCTACTTACAAGGTAGCCAAGATGTCGGGCTATTATTTTCGGCAAGTGGTGCGGCGGTCATTGAAGCTTATGCAGATGCTGATTATGGTGGTTGTTTGGATACCCGTCGTTCTACTTCGGGGTGGTGTGTGAAAGTGGGTCAGTCGTTTATATTATGGAGATGTAAGAAGCAAGATCGTGTGCCGAAGTCATCGACTGAGGCAGAGTAT